GCCTTTCTTTAAGCATCTTCCCCAGCCTGGCTTAGTCGTCTTTGATGTGTCCAGCAAGAATTGAATAGTATAATTTGTTCCCACGTGCAGGACAATCATGGATTTTTTCCCATACCTTGTATCTCAGCTCCTCACAGACAAGATATCCATCTGTTCTTCAGATCCACTCTGGAGACAGATTGGTTCTTCTTCGTAGGGAGGCCCCACTAATCTTCCTCTTCCTGGTGCTGGTGCAAATCACAGGCCTTCACCCTTCCATTCTTTGTGGCTGCAAGTCTTCTGGTCTCACTTGCAATCTTCTGTGAGTCAGCCTCCCAACTCTGGCTATTTACGTTGGCTCTTCCCCTCTTCTTGTACAATTAGCCACTCATTTCTGCCCATCTCCTTTAACTACTTGCCTCTCCCCATCACTTCCCAAGTCACTGAACCTGTTCCTCAGTTCTAGTTCTCTTGCAGTAGCCAGGCTTTTCCTCTGCCTTGTGCTCAGTCACATGCTTCCACAGCCCATTTGCTTCATCCAGCGAGCAACCCTCACAGTTCTTCCCCCTTCTGAATTCAACCACAGCTTCAAGCTGCTGCTCCAAACTGCAGATCTTCTCTGCCATCAGTTCTATCTGGCAGCACTACATACAAACAAAGCACTTTTCAGGTACCCACTCCAGAAAAACACATATCTCACAGCATCCACAGGCAGTCATCTTCACTGGCTCTTCCTGTCTTTGGCTCACTACCACTTGTGCCACTGTCATAGCCTTCCCTTCTGTGCTTGGGAAGTCATGGTTATGGAGAAAAAGAGAGAGAGAGATGGTCTGTCAAATTGCTGAGAGCAACTTTATGCAGTGCTTTGAAAATCAGGACAGGAACCTTAGGGAAGTGGTGGTGAGGGGGGGAGTATACGAAGCATCTTAATAATGAGAAACTAGACTGATGGGGGGGAGAAAAATATGTAACCCAAGGTTTAAAAAAACCACTTGAAATTGGTACACTTGTTCAGAATGAAAGAAAAGAAAAAGCTTGCCTCTGAAGCACTTTCCATGTGGAAGGAAATATTGATTATCATAGATCAGTATTTTTAACTGCTCAAGAGTATTTGCTAAAACAAGAAAATGGAGCTTCTGCATGACCTACTTACACCTGTAACATCTGGCTCACTAGCTTTACCTTCTACTTCTTTACTCTCCAGTATTGTTCTATACTAAGATGTGATAGGAAACAAATTATCTTGGCTGGAATTAGGGATGAGGAGAAACTCCATTGTTTTGCTGTGAATCTGTTCAAGAGGAACCTTCCTACCCATGGCAAAAGCACTGATACAAAGTGCTGTGCATGCCCAACAGCATCAGATCAGAGACAGAAACCAGTTTAGCTTTGCCAGGTCGGTGAAGTAGATGAAATTGGCAAAACCATATTTCTGAAATCCCCTTACCTTCCAGTTTAAGTTTTCCTTTTTGGCTGATGTTGCAGGGCTCTCCAGCATATTGTCTCTGTTTCTCAGATGATTACATCAAGGGCATAAAGTATGCCAAGACAGCAGTCCCCATAAGTGGGCACCTAAACTAACAGCCAGTGTAGAAGAGCTAGGGCTGGGACTTCAGGTTTAAGTGCACACCATTTTTCTGGCTTTCTGCAGGTCTATAGTCCTATTCTCCCACACGCCCAGTCCCTGGAGATCTGAACAAATGCTCAGTAGCTTCATTAATTTTAAAAAAAGAAGAAAAACCCAAACATTCACTTGGAAGCCCTGAGTGGCACAACTGATCCTTTCTTTTCCCCATCCCTCTAATATAAGCCTGAGAGCATCAGCCTGTCTGGGACTTCAGCTTTTTTTCCTAATTACAGTACCTTCTGGTTTGATTAAGTGATCTCTTGCCATCCCCGTTCACCATCTCTCTCTGCAGGCTGCCTTTTTGCAGCAGTCAGTAGATGCAGATAAAAATTCTTTTTAAGGGACCATCTGTGAACATGTCAATTTTTATGATATTTTATTTTTGTGAAGCTTGGAGCAATTATTCTTTTCTTCTAACTGGAGATTCATTTAAAAGGGCCTCACTGAATTCTGTTTCAGTTTGAGCAGCTGTTTGTTCAACAGCCTTCACCGTTGTGAGTCACAGTTTCTTTTGGGGGTATTTTGAGTTGTTTTTTTTCCCTCCTTGTAAGTGTATTGGTACCTCAAGGTAGTAGGAGACGTGTCATATTATTTGGCTTGCAGTATGATACTCACAGGGAAAAACACTCTTTCTTGGCTTTGCATTTGTTGCTGCATGAGTCTACTCATACATTCTGGCCCATACAATGATGCAGCAGTTTGAAAATATTTTTGGGAATGCACAAATGGGGAAAGGCTTGTTTCCACCATATACTAAAGTCCCTAGGTCCACATTGCTCTGTTTGGAAGCAGAAGATCAAAATTAATTACCCAAGGCAAGGCTGGCCAGTGCAGAACTCTTAGTGAAATAAGCCCCCTCTTTCAGCTACTGTAAATTTTCATAGAGTCACTGTAGTCAATAGAGCTATGGTAACACACTTGTTGAGGCTCTGCCCTGCCATGTTCAGACTTTCCATAGTGTAGGAAACCATGTAACTAAATGATTCCACAAAAGAGCCTTATTATTAAGAGGACACAGGCTGGTCTTAAGCTCTTGTTCGTATGAAAGTATCATACCGGCTGTTCTAGTGAGAAACCCAGTGTCCCTTCTGTAACTATCCTGAAGATTATTCTTGGCCATGTCTTTGTCAGTCACTTGGTTCTGAGCTTAGAACATGGTTTCTATGGCAGCCTGGGGTGGAGGGTGAGCATATGTTGATACAGGTCCAAAGACTTCTGGAACAAGATACTTTCTCCAACACTGCAGGGTATGAAGACAGCTGGACTTGTGTAATCCCCTCTCCTGGATCAAAAAGATTGGAGTGAGAACACTCTTGGCCTTGATATTGTTGGCAAGAACATTCAAAACCACCTTTAACCGAAAGCAGCAGCTGTCACTTGTCTTGGCCTCAATTTTGCTTTGTTTGTGTAGACTTCCTGAGGTGTTGGTGTTTGTCTCCAGTGTTTCTCTTCCTCATTCTGTTGCCTAACTGGAGCTTTTCTTCGCTTTGATTACTCACATTTATACGCTGTCACCTCTGAATGGAGACAAAATCCAGCTGTCCCACCACTTCCTTGTGTAGTCCTGTAGTCTGGAATGCACAGCAAGGCAGCTTGATTTAGCCTTGGGGTAAGGATTGGCTGCCACTATCCTAATCCTGGCCTCATGATTGCTGGGAAGTATGTTGTGCACTTGAAATATGATGTTGAGGTCACAATAGAAACAGGTGCAAAGGCTGGAAGCATCAAAGCGTCCCTTGTGCAGGGAAGTGAAGCCTGCTGTCCAGACACTAGCATGGGAATGTGGGGGAGGCTCAGGCCCTGAGCTGTGGAAACTATTGCTGCTTGTTTCAGCCGCTCTCATTGCAGCAATTTCCTTTTTAAATGGCATACGAGTTGCTGAAGCATTTATAATGCGTAAACCTACAGAACACTCCAGGTTAAACACACCCTACCAACCCTCATGTTGCAGTGCAAATGTCCCAGAGGTTACAGATGGACACATACATTCAGGCATCATGAGGACAGCGGGTTTGTCTCTCTGTCACATACATTTCTACTTGGTCACCTCTCTCACTCACACATACACATGCCACCCCCACCCCCGGCCCCCAAACCGCTGCCTGGGAGCATTTCATGGTTACACATCTCTCACCCACAAACATGTCCCCACCACGGTACCCTGGGATTAGGGTTCTAGACACGTGTATGAACATCCCAGGGATTACAGGGCTCTCCTAAATTCACAGCTTTCTAAGCATGTGTGTGTGTGTGTGCATGCACACGTGTGTGCGTGAATCATAGAATCATAGAATATCAGGGTTGGAAGGGACCTCAGGAGGTCATCTAGTCCCACCCCCTGCTCAAAGCAGGACCGATCCCTGACTAACTCATCCCAGCCAGGGCTTTGTCAAGCCTGACCTTAAAAACTTCTAGGGAAGGAGATTCCACCACCTCCCTAGGTAAGCATGTATCAAAATGTGCTTATACTAGCATTCGCTATGTCTGTGTCGCTGCCATATTAGATTTTTGGCAATTGTCTCCCCTACAGGAGAGGCCAAGATAGTTCATGTTCAGGACTTCTGAGACACACTTGCACACTTTGCTGCCCCTTATTAGTGGATTTTGGCGGTGTGATTGACTATGCTTATATCCCTGGCTGTTCCTGTTCCTTCCAACCTTCTTGTCAATTGATACTGATAATGCCATGCAGTCATTTACCAACTATTACAGCTCCATTGTGTCATCCCCACCTTTTGCTTCTGTCAGTGATATCTTTAACTTTTGTTGTAGGGAATCTTGATTGTCAGCCTTACCATCTGAAGCTCGCTGGCTTAACAGTTTGACTGAAAAGGTCATTGCTTTGGTAGGCAGCCCTATGTTCACATCCAGACTCGATGCAGGGCATAAGAATGGTATAGGTTTGTCATGACATGTCTCTTGCTACTACAAGTGACCTCTTAGAAAACACTTAGTAGGCATTGTGGCTCGGACACACAAACTTTAAACTCTAAGCATCCCATGTCGACTCTGAACCAATGAGCACCACCTATTTAATTTGTTTGTAGCTCAGGCTTTGTTGAGCATTTTTCTCCCAATTTTACCTTTAAGACCTGATTGGTTCTCTATATTTGTACTTCTGAAAAGAGGCCATCCAAAAATAGCAGAACATTGGCTATGAGGCAGATACCTTCTCAAAGTCTGTGACTCCCTCACCTTTGTACATTGCCAGCTAGAAACATCTACAGCAGAGGCAACTCAACACGTGTTGCTGCAGCAGCTGAAAAGATGGTGTCATTTATATTTGTGCTTAAAATGACCTAAACTATTACAGCAGTCAAAGCAGACCCAAAGTCCCGATCTCCACAGGGTTCTCACATTCATCTCATTTTGTGGGTGTGCAGGACACCTACTGTTTTAGAGATTCTGTTTTTATTTTAAGCGAAGTGGTTTAAGACCATATTTAGAAGGATGAGAGAGCTGACAAGCTCCAGATACTTCAAAATGGTTATAGCAGCTGGTTTTCCCATGTCTGGTGTGCACCATGGAACTCCAGAAATGGTCTGTCCAGATCCTTTGGAAAACAAGGAGAAAGAGGAAAAAGATTATCCCCAATACACTTTGAACTGCAGGAGAATAATGTGTCTCATGGCGTGACTGTCACTTTAGTGTCCCACAAGGAGGTTGCAATCATCTTGTTGGCTCTTAAATTTTTTCTTGAAGATGGAGATGGAGGTGGATGGCTTGTAAAAAATACTCCAGATCTCTCCTGCAGTAGTTGCTTGGTGAGAATCCCCTATCTCAGCTGAAGAAGGTGCCTGATGAGATCTAAGAAACAGTTATTTTACAATTATAGTTTTAATAACATGCTAAATTGTTTGGCGAGCTGCTATTTATTTTATTACCACTATTATATTATTTGTATTATAGTATGTCTGCAGGCCCCAGATAAGACTGGGGCAGCATTATGCTAGGCACTCTACACCACATAGTAAGAAACCATCCCTGCCCCATATGGTTTGCAATCTAAATAAACTAGACAGAACAGGATGAGAGGCGAAACAGAAGGCACAAAGAAGTGATATGAAAAGGTCACAGGTTTCAGAGTAACAGCCGTGTTAGTCTGTATTCGCAAAAAGAAAAGGAGTACTTGTGGCACCTTAGAGACTAACCAATTTATTTGAGCATGAGCTTTCGTGATGTGATGAAGTGTCATGATGTCATGAGCTTCCGATGAAGTGAGCTGTAGCTCACGAAAGTTCATGCTCAAATAAATTGGTTAGTCTCTAAGGTGCCACAAGTACTCCTTTTCTTTTTGAAAAGGTCACAGCAAGTCATTGGCAGAGCTGGGAAAAGAACCCAGATCTTCTGAGTCCTAAGCCAATGCTTTGTCCACTTGACCATGCTGCATTATTACTAAACAACAATCTGAAGTATAATTAAAGCACCATTAAAACAACACTATAAAATTGCTAAAAGACTAGCTATTTTGGGAGTATTTAAAAATGGGGAGAGGGTTCTGTTCAGGAGCTAATCAATGTTAGTAACGAAAATGCCTCTTAAAAAACATGTGTTTACAGATCCTTTCTGGACTGTAGAATAAATTCTACATGCCATGAGCTGCCACAGCCAAAGTGCAGTCATCCAGTGATCCATGTGCAAAAGTAGAACGCCTATCAATAAGGTGTCAGAGCGCTAATACCTCAGGATGAGGCTCAGGTAGGAAGTCACATATTAAAGGCTAACCATGCAAACTTAAAACATCAATCTGCCACTGTACAGGCAGATAATGTAAAAAGGGTAGTACCTTGTGATCCTCGGTGCTCCAATCTGTTTTTTGTACTAGCTGCAAGTGGTAGTGAACCCTAACAAAAGGTAAATTAAAACAATTGTGCCTCATTGGCATAAGGACAGGTGTTGCTTTTGCAAAGTGATGATGAGAGCACATAAAGCAAACTGCAATTGAAAAATTTTCATGTTGCTTCTGAGACACATAGGACTTTCCTATTTTAATACAGCCAAATACAAGGTCATATATCTAGGAACAAAAGATGTAGGACATATTTACGGGATGGTGGGTCCATAAAGAACATTGGAGTTATGATAAATGACCAGTTAAAAATACTCTCAGTATGATACTTGTGACTAAAAAAGTTACCATGAGTTTTGACTGTATAAACAGAGGAATATCAAATGGGAGTAGGGAAGGGATAACATCGCTTCATGGTTTGGTAGGACCGCAACTGGAATTCTGTGTTCAGTTCTGGTTGCTACACATTGAAAAAGGATGTTGAAAAATTGGAGAAGATTCAACGAAGTGCTACAGGATTGATTTGAGCTCTGGAAAAACTCACGTTATGGTGAGAAAGTTAAGATCAATCTGTTTAGCTCACTGAAGAGAAGTTTAAGAGGTGACTTGATTGCAATCTATTTCTACCTACATATGTAGAATGTATCAGACAGTGGAGGCCTCTTTAATCTAGCTGACATAAGCATAAAAAGGACCAATGGCTGAAATTTGAGCCTAGAAAAGTTAAAACTCAGAAATAAGGTGCACATTTTTAACTAAAAGGGTAATTAACAATCACAGCAGATTAACCAGGTATGTAGCAAACTCTTGCTCACTTTGAAGTCTTCAGCTCAAGACCAGCTGTCTTTCTAAAAGGTATATTCTAGTTAAGCCATAAATTATAGACTTGATGCAGGAATTAATGGACAAAATTCTATGGCCTGTGTTCTTCAGGAGGACAGACTAGATGATTGTAATAGTTTCTTTTAGGCATAAAAAAATCTTTGCATCAATCCTGAATGGTGATCAGAAATAATAACCATGTTCTCAGCCTGGTGCACTAATGGTTTTCATGCCTCTGTTGCTAGTGAGAACACAAACAAAGAGCGCTCCTTCTTCTACAATGACCACTACCCAGTAGGAAGACTTCAGTGATTTTGAAAAAAACTTGAGGATTGTGGTGGATAATCAGCTGAACATGATGATAATACAGTAGGGCACAGATTATCCAACAAGTTCTTGAAATGCATTGGAGACAACTTTTATTATAGAAGGTAGAGAAAGAGACTAGAGGAGAGGATATTCTGCATTTAATTCTGACAAACAGGGAGGAACTAGTTAAGAACCTGAAAGTGGAAGACAGCTTGGATGAAGGTGACCATGAAATGATAGAGTTCAAGATTCTAAGGAATAATAGGAGGGAAAACAGCAGAATAAAAGCAATGGACTTGAAGGCAGACTTTAGCAAACTCAGACAATTGGTAGGTAAGATCCTGTGGGAAGCAAGTCTAAGGGAAAAAAGAGTTCAGGAGAGCTGGCAGTTTTTTAAAGAGACATTATTAAGGGCACAAGAGCAAATTATTCCAATGTGTAGAAAAGATAAAAAGTATGGTAAGAGGTCACCCTGGCTTAGCCAAGAGATCTTCAATGACCTGAGACTCAAAAAAGAGTCATAGGTCAAATGACAAAAGATGAATATATTTTAAAAATCAACACAAGCATGTAAGAACAAAATTAGAAAGGCCAAGGTACAAAATGAGATTAAATAAACTAGGGATAAAAAATGGTTACAGAGCATTTTACAAATATGTGGGAAGCAAGAGGCAGACCAAGGATTGGGTAGGCCCATTACCAAATGAGGAGGGAAAGACAATAACAGATAATATAGCAATGGCCAAAGTATTAAATGCCTTTTTTGTATCCAGTTTCCACCAAAACTTGGGATCTGATGACTAACATAGAGAACAGTGTAAATGGCATAGAATCTGAGGCTAAAATAAGAAAAGAACAAGTTAAGAATGACTCAAAAAAGTTAGATGTCTTCACATCAGTAGGGTCTGATGAAATATGTCCTAGAATACTTAAGGAACTAACTGAAGAGATCTCTGAGCCATTAGTGATGATCTTTGAGAATGCTTGGAGGATGGGAGACATACCAGAGGGCTGGAAAAGGGACAAATATAGTACCTTTCTACAAAAAAGGGAATAAGAACAACCCAGAGAATTATAGACCAGTCAGCGTAACTTCGGTACCAGAAAGATAATGGAGAAAAGAATCAAAAAAATCAACTTGTAAGCACTTAGAAGATAATAAGTAGCAGTCAACATGGATTTGTCAAGAACAAATCATATCAAACCAACCTAATATCCTTCTTTGACAGGGTAACAAGTCTTGTCAATAGGGGGAAGCAGTGGAAGTGATATAGCTTGACTTTAGTAATGCTTTTGATACTGTCTCACATGACCTTCTCGTAAACATACAAGAAAAATACATCCTAAATGGAGTTACAATAAGGAGTACAGAACTGGCTGGAAAACTGTGCTCAGAGAGTAGTTATCATTGGCTCACAATCAAGCTAGAAGGTACATCAAGTGGGGTCCCACAGGGATCAGTCCTGAGTCCAGTTCTACTGCATATCTTCATAAATGATTTGGATAATGGCATATAGAGTATACTTATAAAGTTTGTGAATGATACTAATCTGGGAGGGATTGCAAATGCTTTGGAGGACAGGATTAAAATTCAAAATGATCTTGACAAACTGGAGAAAGAGTCTGAATTAAATAGGATGAAATTCAATAAGGACAAATACAAAGTACTATACTTGGTTGGGCATAATCAACTGCACAGCTACAAAATAGATAATGACTACCTATGATGGAGTACTGCAGAAAAGGATATGGGGTCAACAACATAATCCTGTTGCAAAAAAAAGAAGAGTGAGACACAAGAAGTACTTATTTCACTCTACTCAGCACTGATAAGGCCTCATCTGGAATACTGTGTCCAATTCTGTGTACCACACTTCAGGAAAACGTGGGCAAATTACAGAGAGTCCAGAAGAGAACAACGAAAATGATTAAAGGTCTAGAAAACATGACCTACGAGGAAAGATTGAAAAAAATTGGGCTTGTTTCATGCTGGAGAAGAGAAGACTGAGGGGAGACATTACAGTCTTCAAGTACATGAAAGGTTGTTATAAAGACAAGGGTGAAAATTGTTCTCCTTTGCTGCTGAGGACAAGACAAGTAGTAATGCGTTTAAATTGCAGTACCAGATTTAGTTTAGACATTAGGAAAAACTTCCTACCTGTCCAGTACAAATTACCAAGTGAGGTTGTGGAATCTCCATCACTGGAGGTTTTTTAAGAACAGGTTAGACAAACACCTGTCAGGGAATGTCTAGATAATACTTAGTTCTGCCTCAGTGCAGGGGATTGGACTAGATGACCAGTCCTACATTTCTATGATTCTATGAGCTCCAATGTGATGCTGTTGCCAAAAGAGATAATGCAATCCTGGGATGCATAAATTGGGAACCTCAAATAGGAGGAGGAAGGTTATTTCACCTCTGTATTTGATACTGGTGCAACCGCTGCTCGAAGGTTGTGTCCAGATCTGGTGCCCACCATTCAGGAAGGGTGTTGGAAATACTTGAGAAGGGCTCAGAGAAGAGCCCTAAGAATGCTCAAAAGATTGGAAAACATGCCTTATAGTGAAAGACTCAAGGATCTCAATATATTGAGTTTATCAAAGAGAAGATTAAGGGGTGATTTGATTACAGTGTATAAGTATCTACATGGGGAACAAATATTTAACAATGGACTCTTCAGTCTATCAGAGAAAGGTATAACACAATCCAATGGCTGGAAGTTGAAGTTTGACAAATTCACAATGGAAATAAGGTGTATATTTTTAACAGTGAGAGTATTTCATCATTAACTGACACAATTTACCAAGGACACAATTTATCATGGTGGTATCTGCCTTACTGACAATTTTAAAATCCAGATTGGATGTTTTCTCTAAAAGATCTGCTCTAGGAATTATTTTGGAGCAGTTCTCTGGTCTGTGTTATACTAGGATCAGATGAGACGATCATAATGGTCCTTTCTGGCCTTAGAATCTATGAATGGCTGAAAGTTGAAGCCAGAAAAATTCAGACTGAAATAAGGTGTACATTTTTAACAGTGAGGGTAATTAATTGGAACAATTTATCAGCTGTGGTGGTGTCTCCCTCACTGGCAATTTTAAAAGCATGATATGCTCTAATTCATACACAAATTAATTCAGAGAAGTTCTATGGCCTATGTTATACAGGGGTTCAGATTAGATTATCTCACAATGGCCCTGCTAGCCTTAAAATTGATGGCTCTGAGTATGCATTTATTAATATCTTTTGGCAGACATAAAATCTTTATTTAAAGTCTTCAAATGATGGAGAATCCACAATGTCCCTAGATAGGTTGTTCTAATGGTTAATTACCCTCACTGTTATGGAATTAGACCTTATTTCTAGTCTGAATGTGTCTAGTTTCAGCTTCCAACTATTGGATTTTGTTTTGCCTTTTTCTGTTATATTTAAAGAGCAGTCTAGTATCAGAAATGTCTTCCATGTGTAGGTAACTGTAGACTAAAATTAAGTCACTGCTTAACCTTCTCCGTCAATTAGGTAAAAAGATTGAGCATCTTAAATCTCTTGCTAACACAAATTTTCGAGACTTTGAATCACTTTTGTGGCTCTCTGCTGCTGAAAAATTGGAATGCGTAAAGAAGAGAGAAAGAATATAGACTAGCTGATTCATCACTGACAGAATGGGCTGCTCTTTAACATTTCATTAATACTTTTTGCATTAAATATTAAAATAATCAGCCTTCCTCCCAACAATGCTGAAAATCTTTGTTTAATTTCTTCTCCTCTGTAATTTTAGTCTGTATGAGAACCCTCTCACCCCTGGTAACATGAATGTCCATAAAATAAAAACAAAAGGGATCCTCCAATTGCAAATTTCATTCTACAAAGAGTGGAAAGGTAGAGATGTGCTTTATCTGGCAAGTGATTGAGGAGACACTGAAAATAACATATAACTCATGTTATTGAACATAACTAGTCACACAGTATAAAAAGGTGAGAGCGGTTCCCTCCAGGACACAAAGAATTCCACATGTGGGCCTGAATCTGTATGTCCCACGTACACTCAGGAAAACTTAATCCTATACTTACTTCATTATGTAATGCAGAAGTATCTTTGCCAATATGGCTGAGACAGTTATGATGAAGAGAGCTGTGAGGCCATATACTGTCCACTCTGTGGAAAAGAAAAAGGCATATCTTCTAGCACATTAATTTGCTTATAGTTTTAAAATAGTGTATGTGCTTTCTGTTTTAACACACTTTCTCTTGAACACTCAATTGAAAGCTTCCATTTCAACCGATGTTTAAATTAGAGCAACTGAAGCTGAAAGAGATCTTTTACATTCCAATCAGTCCATCCCCACTTGGCCAGTGCAAGATAGTTCGTTATAAAATTTCAAACTTCAGAGTAAATACCAGGAACTATTTCCTTACAGAGATTTTAAAGCTGTGCAATTGTCCATCTTTGAAAAAGATGGAAGCACATTTCTAGGGAATTTTAAAAATAAACTGAACAAAGCTTATGGGAATGTACATAAACAATTCTCCATTTGCAAGGAGATTGGATGATCTCACATCAGTATTTGCCCTGTTCTCTTCCCATTGCAGATTCTGCTCAGTGTTTGATCTGCGTTGTACTGTCCTGTTCTGTGTCATTGCATTCCTTTAGACTGTAGGCTGTTGGACATTGCACCAGATCCTTGACCCCCCTCTTTAGTTCCCTTTGTCATTCCAGCAGCACAAAGGGGATTCAAAGATGCCTTGAAGCAGCAGCTGAAGATTCTCTTAGTACAAACGAGTTCTAAACTAGTGCAGCCCAAGTGCCTCCTGATCTTTCCTCCACACTCAGGCTTGAGCATGTCATGGGTGAGACAATATGGTGCAACATGCTCTGGCAAACCTGGCTGATAGAAGAGCTCCAAGGCAGAGTCTTGTATTTGAAAATGCAAGTTAGAGAAGCTCTGAGGCCCTCAGCAGTCTCAAGTATCAGGGTGGCACAGAGGTAGAGTAAAACCACCTAATGACCCTCTGGTTCTCCCCACGTGCATTTAGCACCACTTCGTGTCACTCTTAGTGATCTAGCCTACTCTTATTTGTTCAACGCACTGTACCGTACAGTAAATATACATCACTAATGCAGCACACAGAGAATGACAAGAAAAAGAAAGTCATTTCATAATCTGTATGTCAGTGTATTTTCCCTGTTGTTTCTGCCCATCAATTCCCTTTGGATATTACCAGACATGATGCTAGGGGGATGACTCGGACTGGTTGTGATGACATAAAGTATCTTTGAAGACTGGGCTGCATTGATGCGGAGATTTGCTTGTTCAGTTATCACCTCAGTAAATTTCTGATTGACTGTAGTAATGTCCTGCTGTAGCTTTTCTTTGGTAGCTGAAAATACAAGAAGTTATACAAACAAGACCTTAATTTACTTATTTGGGCATAGTTTTTGACTTTGTATTTTGTTACACAAGAACTGTGACTCTGTCTGTTTTAAACTGGGAACTTAGACAATTATTTAATGGCTGATGCTAGGAAAGTCTTAGCAGTCACTAGGATGCAAACAACATGGATTTTCTGAATGTCAATTGTTAATTGAACTCTATTCGACCTAGACCAACATGCTTTCCTTCTAAAACCTTAGATGATAAATAGAGACATATATAAAGGAGAATGGGCCAGATTCTGGACCCAACCCATATACTCTGCTTTGGAGGCATATAAGGGCCATAAAAGGGCTGCAACAGCCCATGGGTAACTTTCTCCAGCACAGGAGCTATGTGAAGCTGGCATATGCAGCCTTGTGCCAGCCCCCTTTGCAGCACCTACTGTAGGGGGCTCCCCAAAGTAGGAGAGAGAGGGTAGCAATAAGCACTCAATGATACAGTCCTTCTGGGCTCTACAGAAACCCATTAGCAGCTGTAGGGAAGCTACCATACATTAGAGCAGCCCTAGGTGCCATACCAGCTCCCAGCACAGACAGACTCTCCTTCTAGACTGTGCCTCTCAGGAGGCACAACTCCAAATCTAGCCTAATAATTCCAGAGGGAGTTTCTCCAATAATCACATTGAAACACAGGTACATGAAAAGAACAAACTCTTTCCAGGTGCCTCTTTGGGGTTATTGAATTGTTTTGAAGAAAAAGGCTCTGGCCAAGAAAAAGACAGGAAGATCCACAGCTATTAGAATACTATCTCACGCTTGCTCCCTACAATACTGAAAAGGAGACTCTTCTACCAGTGTATAAACTGAGACCAAGCAAGAGGGAGTGTCAGAAAAAGGAGAGAGACCTTGCTTATCTTGAAGGATCAGAGAAAAGCAGCTGCACTGTGTCTCAGACGGATAATATACATTGTTTTGTAATTAGGACAACAGAATGGCTTCTCCAGATCTCAGGAGATGATGCTAAGGATTGCAGTTAAATATTCCGCTTTTTTTGTTTAGCATGTGTTTTCTTTTTTTACAGCCTACTTGCTATTAAAAATCTAGTTACTTAGTGAATCTTAAAGTGGTGGCTCTAGTTAGTCTGTTTTAGGGACAACACACTGCTTGAAGAGTTGAAGCATTCTATGATATTTCATTGTGGACTGATAAAATTAGTATGAGTGGCCATCTGGTTACTGGCTGTCACTGAGGAGAGAGACAGGTTCTATCTACAAGACATACAATTAGAAACTCCGAAGATACAAGAGATGTCTGTGTCTACACTATCATTTTCCAGAGTTGCTGGAACAATTTGTATAGTGGGGGTGCTAAGAGCCATTGAATCAAACTGTAAACGATGGAAGCCACTCTGAGCCAGCAGGTACCGCATTGCCTCCAGCACCCCTACTTCCAGCACCTATGCCTTTTTCCCTAAAATTTTCTTACACCAATCCAGCTTTGCTGGCATGAGCAATGGTGAGTGTTCTAGCACAGACAAGACAAAATGATCTGCGCAAGATGACTTGAATGTAATTGGTACAGTCACAGAATCCCAGGATACTTTCTGGCTGAGTGGAATATACAGGGAGTTAGAAAGCACTAAGGAAAAACAGAAGGTGCAGCTGGACTACTGGCACCATTTTATTTCAACTTTAGTCTTTCTTTCAGCCCCATCATATCAGGTGTGGGGGAGGAGGAACCAGGGGAATGGGCTTTTGGGTTAGCCCATAGTTATTTGAGAAACAGCTGAAGGGCAGACTACTAAATCAAGACAGAAGTTTGGGTGGGAGGCCTTACCACCAGGAACTCTGACTACACTAAAAGGAGGACCCTTAGATGTATGATATGAGTTAAAATATGTGTTTTCGCTGTGTCTGTAGGGCAAGTCTCTATGTGGCCTAAACACCTTAGAAAAATGGTCCATCAGGAGCTAGGTATGGAGCAGTTAGCCTCTTACCTCTGTACACGACAGCAAATCCCTGGGCCTGATTTATTTGATCTGAGAAAAAATACAAAATGACAAAATCCAAAGAGACATTAAAAGAGATGGGAGGCCGGTTTCTGCCATCAAAACGAGCCAGCACATGGTAGGTGTAGCCATCCAGCACCTCCACCATGTCTGTGGAGTCCTTGATGTCAAAGAGAATGAAGTTGAACTGGATCTGAGATGCTCCTGGAATTTGTATGGTCCAGTAGCACACCCTGCCTGTGGCATAGGTGTCAGGGAAATCTGGAGAATAGATCACAGATGTTGGGGAGGTATAGTTCCCCCCACAGGCACCAATGAGGGCTGTGGGGAAAAAGAGAAGAAAAAGAATGAGTGAAAATCAAATTTGTATAGTCTGTACTTCCAGAGCATGTTTCATCTAAGAATAAATCTGATACACTACAAACATCAAGGGCTCAATTATGGCTTTAAGCTACAGATTTGCACTGGGGCAGGAGACGCTGGGAACCCCAGGAGATACTATGTCTCAGACCAGAGCAAGATGCTTATATAGGTAACTGGGAGCATGGTCATTGTGCTACCCTCTTCCAGGGTGCAATGTGCACTTCTTTCACAGGAGGCCAACTCCATGGATATGGTGCAAAAGTGGGGGGGCCATCAACCTCTCTCATTTCTTTCAGAAAGCCTAATGCCAGTTTAGGCTGCAATTGTGCCTAGCTCTTGTGCACAATTGTAGCCAGCAATTTCTGGCTCTGATTTACGTTCTTTCAAATGCCCTTTCTTGGGCTGTTGACAGACTTCTCAGCTCAGCCATTATGTCCTGATGCCAACTTGAAGATCAGGTATTATTGTCAGATTTTACATCAGGGATTAACCCTTTAGAACATGGAGTGGAGAGGAGACATAAAAATACATTTATGCAGAAAGTGGTGATGGTGAATGGTGGCAACTTTGGTTGGATCAATTCCTGGAAATTTCATCACATGACAATCTTTAATGAAAAATTAATCTTTAATTCTTGGAGACTCCCGGACAATCCTGGAGGGTTGGCAACCCTAGCACAAGTACTTTTATTTTGTAGTACTTCTAAGAAATCAGACCTCTCAGACTAACAACAACAACAACTTATACCACTTTGGAAAAAAAACCAGAAGATAAAATTTTTAAAATAGCTCAGCTATACTGTTCCAGCATTGTTGGTAACATTACTATCAGTTACACTAATTCTTTTAATGGTGTGTGTGTGTGTGTGTGTGTCTTCACATGTTTAAAGCTATGTATAAACAATTAATTCGCACCCCCCCCCCGGGAGACGGATATGTAAATAGTGTTATACTGCACCCTATTAATAAAATAGAACCTTACTGTCACCTTGGTCCCCTCTAGCTCAACTCTAATCTGTGGCCATTAGGCATTTTCCATGTTAAAGGACAACTGGGTAGCACAGCCCAACAGAGAACTACGCAACACTAAACTGCCGAGCAGTGTAGCCAACTCAGATTTATTGAGAATAATGTGATTTTGGCTCTAGCTGCGAAGAGTCTCGTGATGATACTAAAAGCTCAATTCCTGTGTGGGGAGGGGGAGGGCTCCGTTTCCATACAAAGCCCTGTAGCCTAATGGAAAGTTCAATGACTTAGAAGTCGAGATACCATGAATTCTAGTCCCAGCTCTTTGACTGACAATACTTCTGTGTCCTTCACAACACATATTATGAACAAGATCTCACACATGTAACCAAGAACTTACCCATGGTCACTAGTAGAGCTGGAAATAGAACAGAGTCTCTAATGCAACAGCATCAAGTCTCATCCACTTTGCCAAATTCTTTCCAAGGGACATATCAAATTAGGTGATTCTGTAACCCACCATGACTCTGTTACCTCTTAGTTGCTAGACCACACATTGAAACTTATTTAAGCATAGGCTTTTGTGGGCTAAAGCCCACTTCATCAGATGCATGCAGTGGAAAATACAGTAGGAAGATATATAGATATATACACACAGAGAACATGAAAAAAATGGGTGTTGCCATACCAACTCTAATGAGACTCATTGATTAAGGTGCGCTATTATCAGCAGGAGGAAAAAAAACTTCTGTAGTGATAATCAGGATGGCCCATTTCAAACAGTAGACAAGAAGGTGTGAGTAACAGTAGGGGGAAAATTAGCATGGGGAAATAGTTTTTAGTTTGTGTAATGACGCATACACTCCCAGTCTTTATTCAAGCCTAATTTAATGGTGTCCAGTTTGCAAATTAATTCCAGTTCTGAAGTTTCTTGTTGGAGTCTGTTTTTGAAGCCACACTATCAGAGGCTCATCTACCAATGTGATATATACCATCATGTGCCAGCAATGCCCCCCTGCCATGTACATTGGCCAAACCGGACAGTCTCTACACACAAGAATAAATGGATACAAATCAGACATCAAGAATTATAACATTCAAAAACCAGTCAGAGAACACTTCAACCTCCCTGGACACTCAATTACAGACCTAAAAGTTTCAATTATTCAACAAAAAAACATCAAAAACCCTAACACGGCTACCACTCTGAAACATATAGAAACTTGAGTGTGTTACTACTACCATGCTAAGAGCACTCTAAGGGTTCTTTAGATCAAGTGGTAGCTCTTTACATTTTTACATCCAGAGATCCCAGGTTCAGGTTCTCATATGACCCAAATGGGGGTTGTTACTTTTGGCTATGCTGTCTGTAACCACAATGTGCTCTCACGGCGCGCAGTATAAACCAAAGTGTCGTGATGCCTAGTGTTCCATGGCTGTTTCAGAAAGTATGGTGTCTCCCTGTATGTGCTGGTCCACTTAGAGCAGTGGTTCTCAACACAGAGGTCTCCCAGGGAGTACATCAACTCATCTAGCTATGTGCCTAGTTTTACAACAGGCTACATAAAAAACACTAGCGAAGTCAGTACAAACTAAAATTTCATACAGACAATGACTTGTTTATACTGCTGTATAGACTATACACTGAAATGTAAGCATAATATTTATATTCCACTTGATTTATTTTATAATTATATGGTAAAAATGAGAACGTAAGCACTTTTTCAGTAATGATGTGCAGTGACACTTCTGTATTTTTATGTCTGATTTTTGTAAGCAAGTAGTTTTTAAGTGGGGTGAAACTTTGGGTATGCAAGACAAATCAGACTCCTGAAAGGGGTACAGTAGTCTGGAAAGGTTGAGAGCCACTGACTTAGAGGACAAAAGCAGTTGTTCCTAGAGCTGTCTGTGTTGTGGAGCTGAAGATTGTAGGTTGATGAGCCATGTGAGCGTGGGAAAATTTACATATTATAAAAGTTGATGTACAGATCCTGATGCAATAGTTGGAATGATCTGAAGTTGCAAAACACTGTATTTAGAAGTGAATTCAGATGTTGTGTTAATATTTGTTTTACCATTGCATTTTTATTATTTGTATTTGTAACAATAGGTGTAGCAGACTGAGTAGTTTTAAGCCTGAGCAATGTGGGAGATGTTGCCTGTGTGTGCAGAGCAGGAGTGGGCAAACTATGGTCCGGGGGCCACATCCTGCCTTTCAGACGTTTTAATCTGGCCCTCAAGCTCCCGCTGGGGAGCGGGGTCTGGGGCTTGCCCCGCTCTGTGCCATGGCTCTGTGTGGCTCCCAGAAGCAGTGGCATGTCTCCCCTCTGGCTCCTACGCATAGGGGCAGCCAGGGCGCTGCGTGCACTGCCCCCAGCCCCAAGTGCTGCCACTGCAGCTCCCATTGGCCAGGAACCATGGCCAATGGGAGCTGCAGTGGTGGACCTGTGGATGGGGCAGTGCACAGAGCCACCTGGCTGTGCCTCCACATAGGAGCCAAAGCGAGGACATGCCCCTGCTTCCGGGAGCTGCTTGAGGTAAGCGCTGCCTGGAGCCTGCACCCCTGAGCCCCCTCCTGCGCCCCAACCCCCTGCCCTAGCCCTGATTCCCCTCCTGCCCTCTGAGCCCCTAGGTCCCAGCCCAGAGCACCCTCCTGCAACCCTAACCCATCATCCTCAGCCCCACTCCAGAGCCCACACCCCCAGCTGGAGCCCTCCCCCTCCCCCCCCCGCACCCCAACCCCGTTCCAGTCCGGAGCCCCTTCCCACACCCTGAACTCCTAATTTATGGCCCCACCTCAGACTCCTCACCCTGTCCTGCACTCCAACCCCCAATTTCATGAGCATTCATGGCCAGCCATACAATTTCCATACCCAGATGTGGCCCTTGGGCCAAAAGATTTGCCCATCCCTGGTCCAAAGGGTGGGAGACCATGCCTGTGCAAGCTCCAACAGGTCAGACCTGATTTAATACATTTATCTTCCCAGAAGGCAGTCTCATTCTCAAAAATGTAACATCAGCACCTGTGCAGGATTAGCTGTCTCGGAGAATTGCAAAGGAGCTACAGACCCTCTCTCCTGTTGGGCAGCAGTATGAATCTTGCCCAGCTCAACAGGGTTTAAGTCTTGTTCCAATCGCATGGAAGTTTGGTGGCCCCTGTATGGGATGAGTTTGATTCCCCGTTCTAGTTCCCACATCACAAACTCACTAACCTGCTTTGCACTAATTGTAATATACACTGAGCAGAGACTGTCCCTCACTAAGGGCTTCTCTATATGAACAGTTAGCATGCGGCAAGATGGAGTCTAAATCTACCTCACATTAGCCAGCCATGCACTAACTGTCCATCCAGGCCCTGCTCCCACATCTAAAAGCTCCATAGTGCACTTCGATCTACCCCACTTTGAAACGAGAGTAGATCAAAGTGCATACTTCCCAACATTTCAAGTGGCTAAAGCAGGACACAGCGCCACTCAGGTTTGGCCACTCTATAGATGGGGACAGAAGGGCAGACAGGCAAAACCCCATGGCAATCCTGAATGCAGGAAATATTCTGCTTAATCATGACAAGAGGTTTTGAGGATCAAAGTAGGACAGGCCTGCAAACCTCAGGACAGTTGTTAGGTGTAAGCGCGCCTTAGTGAACTTTTAGTGCACAGTTGCAAGGTCTGCATGGACAGTTAATGCGTAACTGGCAAACACCCATGGACTAATTGTTCATATAGACTTAAACACTTAAGACTTGTCTATCATAAAGAGGTCCCAATGTGCATTGGACCCTCTAGTGAAAGTTCCTGCAGCCGGTGCCAAAATTGTCTCACTCACTATAAATATGAGAAAGGTGGTAACACTAATTGTCTTGAGCATATTGAAGGGAGAGGGGGAGTTCAAAAATCAAACAACCCAAAAACACATTCAATTTTAAAAACAAGATCTCATTATATTTGAGCCAATCTCATGATTTTGTAGGGGTCACCATCTGACTCATGATATTTGACTCATGGCTGAGCATCTTTGCTTTCTGGAGCTAGATCGCCCCTAGCTTCCATTTTGAATCACTTGGAGGAGAGGAAGATGATCAGGAACAGTCAACATGGATTCACCAAGGCCAAGTCATGCCTGACCAACTTGATTATGATGAGATAACTGGCTCTGTGGATGAGGGGAAAGCAGTGGACATGTTGTTCCTTGACTTTAGCAAAGCTTTTGACACGGTTTCCCACAGTATTCTTGCCAGCAAGGTAAAGAAGTATGAGCTGGATGAATGGACTGGTGGATAGAAAGTTGGCTAGATTGTCGGGCTCAATGGGTAGTGATCAATGGCTCCATGTCTAGTGGGCAGCCGGTATCAAGTGGAGTGCCCCAAGGGTCAGTCCTCGGGCCGGTTTTGTTCAATATCTTCATAAATGATCTGGAGGATGGTGTGGATTGCACCCTCAGCAAGTTTGCAGATGACACTAAACTGGGAGGAGAGGTAGATACACTGGATGGTAGGGATAGGATACAGAGGGCCCAAGACAAATTAGAGGATTGGGCCAAAAGAAATCTGATGAGGTTCAACAAGGACAAGTGCAGAGTCCTGCACTTAGGACGGAAGAATCCCATGCACCGCTACAGACTAGGGACCGAATGGCTCGGCAGCAGTTCTGCAGAAAAGGACCTAGGGGTTACAGTGGATGAGAAGCTGGATATGAGTCAACAGTGTACCATTGTTGCCAAGAAGGCCAATGGCATTTTGGGATGTATATGTAGGGGCATTGCCAGCAGATTGAGGGACGTGATCGTTCCCCTCTATTCGACATTAGTGAGGCCTCATCTGGAGTACTGTGTCCAGTTTTGGGCCCCACACTACAAGAAGGATGTGGAAAAATTGGAAAGAGTCCAGCGGAGGGCAACAAAAATGATTAGGGAACTGGAACACGACTTATGAGGAGAGCTGAGGGAACTGGGATTGTTTAGTCTGCAGAAGAGAAGAATGAGGGGGGATTTGATAGCTGCTTTCAATTACCTGAAAGGGGGTTCCAAAGAGGATGGATCTAGACTGTTCTCAGTGGTAGCTGATTTCAGAACAAGGAGTAATGGTCTCAAGGTTTAGGTTGGATATTAGGAAAAACTTTTTCACTAGGAGGGTGGTGAAGCACTGGAATGCGTTACCTAGGGAGGTGATGGAATCTCCTTCCTTAGAAGTTTTTAAGGTCAGACTTGACAAAGCCCTGGCTGGGATGATTTAGTTGGGGATTGGTCCTGCTTTGAGCAGGGGGTTGGACTAGATGACCTCCTGAGGTCCCTTCCAACCCTGATATTCTATGATTCTATGATTGACTTCTATGATGAGATAACTGGCTCTGTGGATATGGGAAAAGCGGTAGACGTGATATACCATGACTTTAGCAAAGCTTTTGATACGGTCTCCAACCATATTCTTGCCAGCAAGTTAAAGAAATATGGATTGGATGAATGGACTATAAGGTGGATAGAAAGCTGGCTAGATTGTCAGGCTCAACAGGTAGTGATCAATGGCTCAATGTCTAGTTGGCAGCCAGTATCAAGCAGAGTGTCCCAGGGATCGGTCCTGGGGCTGGTTTTGTTCAGATGATCTGGATGATGGAATGGATTGCGCCCTCAGCAAGTTTGTGGATGACACTAAGCTCCGGGGGAGAGGTAGATATACTGGAGGGTAGGGATAGGGTCCAGAGTGACCTAGACAATTTGGAGGATTGGGCCGAAAGAAATCTGATAAGGTTCAGCAAGGACAAGTGCAGAGTCTTGCACTTAGGATGGAAGAATCCCATGCACCGCTACAGGCTGGAGACTGACTGGCAAAGCAGCAGTTCTGCAGAAAAGGATCTGGGGATTACAGTGGACAAGAAGCTGGATATAGGTAAACAGTGTGCCCTTGTTGCCAAGAAGGCTAACAGCATATTTGGCTGCATTAGTAGAAGCACTGCCAGCAAATCAAGGGAAGTGATTATTCCCCTCTATTGGGCACTGGTGAGGCCACATCTGGAGTATTGCATCCAGTTTTGGGCCCCCCACTACAGAAAGGATGTGGACAAACTGAGGAGAGTCCTGTGGATGGCAATGATAATGATTAGGGGGCTGGGGTACATGACTTATGAGGAGAGCCTGAGGAAACTGGGCTTATTTAGTCTGCAGAAGAGAAGAGTGAAGGGGGATTTGATAGCAGCCTTCAACTACCTGAAGAGGAGTTCCAAAGAGGATGGAGCTAAGCTATTCTCAGTGGTGGCAGATGACAGAACAAGGAGTAATGGTCTCAAGTTGCAGTGGGGGAGGTCTAGGTTGGATATTAGGAAAAACTCTTTCACTAGGAGGGTGGTGAAGCACTGGAATGGGTTACCTATGGAGTTGTGGAATCTCCATCTTTGGAGGTTTTTAAGGCCTGGCTTGACAAAGCCTGGCTGGGATGATTTAGTTGGGATTCGTCCTGATTGGAGCAGCGGGTTGGATGAGATGACCTTCTGAGGTCTCTTCCAATCCTAATCTTCTAAGATAGCTAACACCCACCCCCACATTTCCGTGTTAGAGCAAACTGTGGACTTAGTAACTTTTCAAACCCATACTGTGAAGAGAAGCGACTGTGTGGAAGTTTGTCCTAAGGTTTGGTATCATTGTGTAGATGAAGAAAAAGGTTGTACCTTATACTGCACTTAAACATAAATTGAAGGATCATGTATTCAGGACAGAATTCAGACCTTGTTTAATTGGTGCAACTCCACTGAAGTCAATGATACTACACTGTTTACTACAGGTCTTAATTTCACTCTTAGTCTGGAAGGTTACGCAACTGGAACTGGTATTTATAGAGAGAGAGAGTGTGAGTGAGGAGTCCTCTGGGTGTGTAGTGTTAAGGAAATATAACTCATTCCCTTGATGTAACATGCTGCTCCACTGACAAGTCTACTAGATTTTGTTGTCTTGTATATCTGACATTCTCTTTTACCATGTAGGTAAGAAAATAAGGTGTATGGTCAACTATTCTGTTTTTCCTTTAATCAAAAATTAGTAACTAGATTTATAATTACACCTAATTATTTTTAGGGTAAAAGGTGGAACTCCTTCCACTTCCCATAGCTCCAGGTAAATCTCTGCTGGGTTCCCCTTTCTACTTTACCAGACTGAACATAACACTATTTATTAAAAGTTGAGCTGATGTGTACCAATTAAGGTGTCTGATGGGATTATTGAAGATTATCACTTACCTTAGTTGCACATGCATTCATTAATTAAGGGCAGATCTGAAAGTGCCCTTCAGTGCTGTGTCATGGATGACAGCCACTTTAGAGCCCTTTGTGGAAAAGTGTACCACGGTGTCTGGAGCATGAAGCAGTTGTCTGAGCAAGTATCATTTATTGGAAGAGATATGCCAATCCATTCACAGAATTGGAATGAAGGTTAATTCATTTTACTCTGAATTTATGTTCTCATTTTTCTGAGCCAAACAGGGCCTCAGCTGCCCTACAGTTGAGCCCTACTGGGGGGTCTTGCATTCTTTTGTGTCCAGTAGTACCCAAATTCCTTTATGACTCTTTTCCCTGATTTGCTAAGTATTTGAAGCCTCCCCTTTCAGAGATGCTCAGCCCATTTCAATACTTACTGTCAAAGAGGATGACCCTGCCGTCACCACCACAGGGTTGGGTATGGTCGCCAAAACAGACACTGTTGCATTCTGTGCTGACTGCCTCCCCATAGCGCCAATAGTCAGGGTTATTTCCACAGAAACAGGCATAGCCTGACTCCATGCCTGCAAACTGTGATAACAAAGAGAGTTTAGACAGGAAGGGTTGACATTCGGGGAACATAGATAGCAGGTTGTCAGGGCATAAAGGGGACAGCAAGGAGTGTACCATTTGGAGGAGAATGATTAAGAGCAGGGCCAGGAGAAAGCTGGCAGGGTGTTCTGCAGATGACAGAGCTTCAGGGGTGCCATTTAGGGCTGGTGAGAAAGCCTGTGCAGAGGAAGGGGAGGGTTGTTACATTAATGAAGTGTAAGCATACAAAAGCATTCACATGTCTGCAGGCATCTCCTCCTTGCAGTCAAAATATAACTTTTTTGGCTTATACCCAAGCTATCTTGGATAAGCAGGAGAGAGGCTGGGCTCCCTAGAGTGAGAGGAAGTGAGAGGCTGGGTTTCCTGGGGCAAGAAAAGAAGGCACCAGAAATACAGTGGAGATCTGTGTGTGTCATCCTGTCCCATTTTTAAAAAAACCTCTCTGTAAATGGAGAGCAGAGAAATTACCTTGAACTGCTGATTTCGGCAGAAGCTGATGCAGGTTTGGATAGTGAGTTTGTTTGAGGTCTCACTGATGCCAGTAAGAGGGGGATCTCCATAGTCCTTGTAACAGCCAAGATTCCCAGGCACTGGAAAGAATTATGGAGAACAAATATTCTAGATGTGTGTCCATGAGTACACTATGATACAAAGGATTTCATGTGTAACCTTGAGGCCTCTGCACAACTTTTAGCATAGATCTCATATTAGCAAGCTCCAGCTGTATGACACTGGCCTTTAGAAAATATGAAAAAGGCCCATCAAACACAACAGAAGACAAGGAGACAAGAATGAGGTGGGCTTCATTCCTGAATACATACACACCATATTTTATAATCAGGTTCTGATACTATGGTAATAGGGGTCACATAAGCTCCTAAGATAATTTCATTATTCAGCATTCCTGATTTCAGCAATAATAAACAGGAATATTACACTAGGTTTGAGTGGGATCAGGGTAAATTTGGATTTGGAATGAATGATGTACATTGCAATGAGGCATTGTTAAAAAATATGGTTTCTATTCAAACTATTTTATTCACTATGGACATACAATAGCAGTCTTCCAAAGTGGAGTCCACAGAGCCATTGGATCTAAGCTATTTGCCAGGATACTTCATTGCCATGTAATCATAAGTGGGTGCTGGGAGTACAAGAAATTAAAGTTGATACCTTATTAATAGAGACTTCTCTTCATCTAACATCAGCAAAGATGTCATTCTCACCTGCTGTACTATATAGTGAACATTGCATTGGAGTCAGCCTACCACTATACACTACTCTTCACCCAGGCAGGCCCAGGACTGGAATAATAGCACCAGGTTCTGTCTGAGGTCTGGCTGAATTCAGGATTGAGGGATGTTGCACGCAGCAGAAAGTTGAATAGCATCTGCCAGCATTAGACCTGGCTGTAGCTCCGGTATAGTTAGAGCCTAATGCATGCGCACAAAACTCATCCTAGTAATTGAGATTATGGACCATGTCAATGTGGGGTGGACAAGGGACAAACCCTGTGACACTGTTTCCCTTTTAATTCCCTTGTGTCTATTCAAAGTGAGCAACATTTGCTAAAAGCGTTTGTGCTGGTGCCCAACAGAGAGAGGACTCCCTCCACCTAGGATTACCCCTGTATGATACTTTTGCAGAGTAGTCTGAAGGAGACATAGAGAACCCAGACAACTTGTGTGTCTGGGGATAACGTACTGTATTTCCCAAGACACACTCAGCATAGTTCACATGACCATCAATTAGCAGTTCCAGATACCAAAATAACAGCTAAAGGCTAGTTGGCACAGTGGGATAAATCATTCCCCTGCTGATAGTAATAGAGCTTGTAAATCCAAGTGCCCTGCTCCAAATGCCAGGCTGTTTGTGTCCTTTGCTGCTAAGGGGGTCAATTTATACCTTCATTATTTCCTTTCTATAACTACTCTAGATCAAATTTTCAGAGGTCCTAACTAATTTTGTTTGCCTCAATTTCAGGGAGTCCAGCTTAAAATACCGAAAAATCTATTTATCAGAATGCTCTCATTGAAATCAATCGGAGGTAATGGTGTCCACCACCTTTGAAAATCAGGCCTAAGATGTCTTATAGCCAAAATATTGAAGATCTTTAGATTTGAATAAGACCTCTTCATACAGATCCATGCCCACAGTCATGGCCATTCTAGCCACTTGGCTGTTAAATTAGCAATGCAGCAGTCGAATACTCTGAAGATTTATCAAGCTGCATGAGTGGCACTAAGAAGGGTATCAAGCTACAGAACAAGTTACTTGGTTTTCTAAGTAGGTTGGAAAGAAGCCTTTTGCTAACCTAAATGCCTCTTCCTCTATCTCCCCTTACTCATGCAGAGAACTATTCCTCTCCCTCTGCTATCTCAAAGCCCTATCCTTCCCTGCATCACTTACTAACCATATGGCTCAGGGAGAATAAATGTGGTTCACAACATATTTGTGAAAATGCTTCTTTCATAGACTTACTTGATATATGTAGTAGCAAATGCAAGTACCAGTGTCTGTAGTTGGCCAGATGGCTTAGTATGTTATGTTTATGAGAAGTCCCAGGTATAAATCCAGCTGATCATTCACTGTTGGGTTGCTTCCTGTTCTTGTTTCATCTGAACCACATTCCTATGCCCATCAGAGTGTCTACTGTTATTAACTATCTGTGTTGCATTAGGACCCATTAGTTGCAGGATGCTTTCTGATCCCGGTCACTGCCCTGGAGCAAACACAATCAAAAGGTGGCAGTCTAGTCTAGTCTGGAGGTGATAAACATAGTGATATATCCTCTGAGAAGAAAAAAAGCAGTTTTCTGGCCACTTGAAGATGGTATAAATCATTCATAGAATCACAGAATATCAGGATTGGAAGGGACCTCAGGAGGTAATCTAGTCCAACCCCCTTCTCAAAGCAGGGCCAATCCCCAATTTTTGCCCCAGATCCCTAAATGGCCCTCTCAAGGATTGAACTCACAACCCTGGGTTTAGTAGGCCCATGCTCAAACCACTGAGCTATCCCTCCACCCCCCAAAATTCCTCATCATTGATGCAAATGTGTCCAGGAGCAGCAAGTAGTCCAACAAGACACTGAGGCTTTATATTGCCTTGACAATCAATAGTCAGATGTCTTCAGTCAAGTGTGAAGTCCATGCACCTGCAAGTTTATTAATTACTTTCCATTCTCCTAGCAGCACCACTAGCTTCCCCATGCTCAGTTACAACCACTGCTCTTCATCCATCCATGCTTTTATTTCTACCACTAGAAGACAGAGTTGTCTAATCACCATCTCATATGAAGGCAAGCAAAGTACAATAGGGCCCTGTAACTGGCATCGTCAATGTCTCCTTATTAGCCACCTAGAAACCCTCAATAGTCTGGCTAATTCTGCACAAGTCTGCACTTAATGCAGGGGGGCCTTGCAAACTACCACTCTGTTTCCAAACCCCTGCCTGAACAAACTTATGGAAAAGGTAGTAGCCATCAAACAAGCTCCAGCAGCATTTAACTTCCCCCAGCATCCTGAGCTCCTCAGGTCAGGCTTGAAGTCAGGACATGGCAAAAGGTTAGCCCTCTGCTCTGATGGATGACTGTACTAATGGCCTTGAACTGGGGCCACACCTCCATGTTCACACTCTTGATATCTCAGCAGCCTTCAACACTGTCTATTGTGAAGTGGTACTCCCACTACAGAGGAACTAGCAGGAGTGGATGCAGCAATATCCTTTCTCTGACAGTTCTCGCAGAAGCGAGATGGACCATCACAAATAAGACACCTCCCTTCAGCCAATTAGTCCTTTGGGAGAAGAATCTAAACACAATTTCAGTGTCTGGTTTATACTGACCCTGATTTTAATGCCTCTTACTCCAGATATTTTCTATTCAATCCACATCTTTAGATGGGAGTTTTCAAAGGATAAATCTTTTAGCTAGTACTGACTTCAGTAGAGCACAGCAGTACTCAGACCTAATCACGCCCACACTATTGGCAGAGTAATACAGTAAAGTAGCACCATTTGAGCCCTTTCATGACGTGAGGAAATGGTAACATGAGGTTCCATTGTAGCTGGAGCCATTGATGCAAGCATAATATACTAAAGAGAGACAAAGTTGGAGTAGAATAGAGACAAGTCAGTGCAATTTCTGAAGGGCTCATAAGTGCAGGTGTTTTTGTTTAACCCCTTAATGCCAGGAGTCTGACATTCCTGACACAAGGCCCAGACTGACCAGTACTATCAGATTAATGGTAAAAAATGTCAGTGCTGGGCTACACAATAGCTTTCTATGCTTTAAGGATGCTGATAGAGATAAATGGATAAATAAGTTAGACTGAGACCCAGTGTCCATAGTGCAGAGTTCTCTCTGCTGAAGTGTGGAATCCTCGTTTGTTGTTTGCATAATGTGCAGACAATAAGAAACTTTTTATTCTCGTTTTCTTGTTGCCATCTCAATGAGTCCAAAGAAACACTGATTCATTTACTTCACAAATCACTTGTAACAGGCCAAACTGGGAACAATATAGTTTTAGGCTGCAGCTATAATACAGATTGATGCCTGGTTTCTTCATGGAGCTTTTTAATATTCATTAGTAAAAGCAAAAAAAAACAAACAAAAAAAAAACCAGAGACAGATGAGAACATTCCAGGTCCCACAAAAACTGACAAGAGCATGTAAATCCAGTAATTATTCAGGTAACAAAAGAGTGGAACTTTATATTCTTTGGACCTGATCAAACGCCAGACACAGAAGAGGCAGTATATAGTAAGTTTAATGTTGACACAAGAGGAGCAAAGCTACATGACAGTAAGGCAGAAAGGGATGAATACAAGTGAAAAAACGGAAGGCAAAGGATGAACACTTCTTAATTTTTAGGGGCTGGTTTAGTGTAGCTGTTAGTGATTAATGAATATACTGAATTGTATATTGCCGTATTCTTCACAAGAACAATTATGTCTACGTCTAGTATGTCTCACTATAGGTGAGAGATTAAGAAAACAGAAGAGTTGGGGAGAAGAAAATTCTAGTATTTGTAGTTTTGTTTGAGTAATTAATGCTGCTCTGGTTTAGTGTTCATAAAAATACTGTTTTAAGTCTTAAAATATGTTAAAGTTTCCAGTGTTAATACTGTATATAGATAAGTACTCTAGCTAGGGCTCTGAAGTACCATGCACCAGTCAAGCTTGCAGCAATGAACATATCATTACTGAGACTTCAAGATACTGCCTGAATTAATGTATCATAGGTAATTTTCACCTGGAGCTCTTCTCCAGCTGAGTCCAGCTTGATAGAACACCTGCAGAGACAGCTCAAATTTCTGTAGGGTGCATTATTACACTGTCCAACAAATACTTCCTGTAATTCCATCCGAGCTCACTTCACCCATGGGACTTTGGGAATTCCTAAAACAGCACATTAAAAATATGCTTTGAGTTAACTTTAATGGTGGGAACCTCCCAGTTGGTAAATTATTAAATTCTCTAACTAAAAAACAACAAAAAACCATGCCACTAGGGTAACATTGTATAGCTAGTGAGCCCCTGTAGGGTCCCATTGTGCCTCAGCACTCCAATCTCTGACAAACAAAAGGAAT